TAGGGCTCCTTCAACAGACTTCTCTTACTTTGAAAGGGTATGATATTGGGTTCTAAACGGTTTCATGTAGGGTTCGGGATTTTTTGGCCTTGGGAGGGCTCCGTGAAGTTTCTGTGAGTGCCAAGACGAGCCTCGAGGGGCGTTGTTAGGGTTTAGCTTATCTCTGTAAGGTGTCGATGATCAGAGGGCCCTCTCGTGTGTGAGTTCTGTCTCTCTGTGGGCATCATACATGCGAAGATGTCTGAAATCCCAGCACCACGGTAGTCGTTAAGCTTAGTTAAACCCCCCCCACACACACACACACACGCATACATATATATATATATACACATATACACACACATATATATATATATATATGTATATGTATATATATATATAGACATACACACACCCTTACTAAGCCCTAAACCCAAAACCCAAACCCCTAACGCTGAATCTGCGCCTCCAAGTACTTGTTCTCCTCTGGCTTCGTGGTGTACCGCAAACCCAGGCATCCTTCACTGCAGGCTCTGTTTTTGCAGAAGGCTATGACCCTGCCCCTCAGACAATGCCGCACTCCTCGGTGTCCACCCAGGGTTTAGGGTTTTGGGGCTTGTGGTTTAGAATTTGGAGCCTAAGCAAATTCGTGGAAGTAGCTATGGACTGTTCTGAAGGCTGTCCAACAGGGCCCTTCATTCGTGAAGCTCGACTATGAGCTAGCACTCTTAAAGGAACCCTTCTAGAGGAGCACCAGAAGCCCGAAAGGACCCCATTCTCCAACCCTAACTTCCTAAACCCATGACGCCTGAAGCACAGTTTCAGGAACATGCTGCGGGTGGACAGTGCAGGTTGCTCTGGGATGAGCTCCTTTGTGGGGTTTCGCTTTCTGCTTCGAAACGACTTTAGGGCATCCGGTCTGCCGGACGTCGGGGTTTCAGAGCTTAGCAGGGTTTAAGGGTCAGGGTTTTCAGCGCTTAGCAGCTGTCTTACACTGGGAGTCCTTCTAACGTAAGCTCCGGATAAGATAACATTTTTTGAACCAGGTCTCTCTGAAGTGCCTCCCAGTTGCCCCAACACCAAATCCTAACCCCGCAACCCCACATCTAAACTAAACCCCTAAAATTGAAACCTACATCAGTAAACCTAGACCAGTTCCTAACCTAAAGCCTCAACGCCTAAACACTGAGGCCCGACAGCCGATTGAGACGGTGCACCAAGCGACCCGAAAAAAGGCCCCTTGTGCCTGAAACAGGAAAATCCAGGAATATATGTAGGGACGTCTACTACTATAACATTACAGCTAGATAAGGCTCTGGGTATTCATGAGAATATGTGAGGCTACGAGACTTAGTCTTATCATCAATTTTCCTATTGCCACCACCACTGCTAGAATTACTAATGCCATTCGCATCTTCGCCATTACAGCTAAGCTAAGAACCTTTTGGGTCTACCTTAAAACCACAACACGGGATAAACTTCGAAGGAGAAGCAGAACAAGCACATCTCAGATAGCCCCTGGGGTCTATAACACGCCAACACAACCATGAAAAAGGGACTCATAAGGAGAACTCAGAAGAAACTGATACTAAACCCTAAACCCAAAACCCTAAACCAACTCGGAAAATGAACTCCTCTGGCGAACCCGGGTCCTAGTGGCAGGGCATTGAGGATGGCGAGCGTTGGCTGGATGGCGATGGTGGTCACGGCGGTTGGGGAAGGCAGTGGGTGCCTCAGCTGCGACTCAAGCTACGGCCGAAGAGGCTGGAAAAGCTCAGGCTACTGATATGGGATATGTTCATGTAGCCCACTACTTTAAGACTACTTTTGAATGATCTGCGTATGAGCATGTCGGACTGTCCAAGTGTTGACTGCCCGACTTTTGCATTCTATGTATAGCGACTAGAATGGTCACTAACAGCTGACTTTGGTGTTGGCATATCTGTAACGCTCAGGTAAAAACTTCTGACTTATCTGCAACATGCTGAAAAGTGCTTCCCGCCATCAGCCGACAAGTGCGTAACCTGCAGTTGCAGCCCCGTGGAGGGTTCACAAGCGACACTTTGCTAGCCAGAGGCTGCAGCCTTGAGGGTGTGCGCATACATGCTCCAAGCATGAAGAAACTAAGTATTTCGATATTTCCTATCGCGCATTGAAGTTTTCGGTGATCCCAGGCCTAGTGTTTGGCTCATCCATGCCCCCCCCCACCCGGAAAGTGCATAGAACAAAAACAAAGTGTCCACCCGAGCTGTTGTGCTACGCCTATCCTGCAAATCTACGCTTTCCACAAACACGCACACACACACTCTCTCTCTCTCTCTCTCTCTTTCTCTCTCTCTCACCATGATGTACAACAGAATAGCTGTCGCTTTACTGTCAGTATCATTGCTGGTTTTGTTGCTTTCGGTCAGAAAAAACATTGTTGGGCTGGTGAAATCTCGGTACGACCTTGTTGCTCATGCTCCTCTTCCCCTCCTGCTGCTAGCTACTAGACTACGGCTGGCAGCACAGCTAAAGCTGCGGCGACTACTACCCATAGGCCCCTAAGTAGTTCCTTTTTGTGGTTTACATTTAGAATCCTACAAGGTAATCCCAAAAAGGAACTGCCTACGGGCCTGTGGGTACAGTGCTGCCCAATACTACGCCAAAGACAGCACAGCTATGGGTGATGCTGCAGCTGCTACTGCGCTTTCTCCTGCTCCTCCCTCGCCCTGCTCTTTCTGCTGCGACAGTAAAACCCATAGCAATGACAGCAGTAATGACAAAATTATGACTGGAATCACAATAAGACTTTTTATAATCAAGAAGAAGAACCTTAGTAATCGCAAATAATTAGTTGCAATAACAAGAGTGATAATCGCAACAATAGTGACAGCCCACTGGTGAGTTTCTCAGCACAGCTGCACGTGTGATGTGGATTGGCAGAGGAAGTGGACGCCCGAAGTGCGGCAGACGCGCTTGGAGGAGGGACTCCCAGAGGGGGCTTCTGGCCCACGGCAGAAGAGTGAACCTTAGACGGAAAAGCTTATACTCCTCTAGCCAGGCAAGCCCGAACGCTAGAGATATCTCGAGATACTATAAAGCTAGAAGCGGTAACCTACAGCTCCTAAGAGACTTGCAAGAAGTTGGATGCTAGGTTTTCGTGTCTAAACTGGAAAGCTTCAGATCCTGGCACAACTGACTGTAAACGCTGCATCCTGCGGCTGCTGATTTCACCTCTCGGGGTTTAGGTGCAACTGCGTGCAACAGCACCTAAGAACGAGGGCCCTGGGTTTCCCTAAGAAGGGACGTCGAGGGCTTAAACCCTGAGAAGGCAGGGTGAAGGGGTTATGTTGAAAGGCTCTTCAAGGCCCCTCGCCTAGAAGATCTTATGCTTAGCGTAGCAAGCGACGGTTTGACTTGACCGCTTCCGGGAGCCGAGTGAGCAGGTCGTTGGGTCAAGGTGCGGGGGGCTTTGGTTGGCAGAGAAGAAGTGCACGAGGCAGATCATGGCAGTATGCCACTGGTAGTTGATGTCCAGGGGTGCTTCGAATAAAACGAACCCCTTCAAGGAAGCCAGAAAGATGCCCGTCGCTTAACCGATTCTGAAGGTGGGACCACTTTTGTTTCTGCCTTCCACCTTCTATGGCCCGTACCAGTCTGGGTGTTTAGGGTTTAGGGTGCAGTTCAAGTTGTCTAAACACTGCCCACAGTCTCCGTTGAAGTTCCTGCTTTGGCTTCACCAATTTGAAATTCAGGATGCCATAGCGTAGCCCAAAAAAAGGACCTACAACGGAGACTCTCGGTGTGATCCATAACTGGTTAGGATCCTATAAGGTAACTGAGGTAAGATACACTTTGAGGGAACCCTTAACCCTAAAAGGGACCCTTATAGGTACTTAGGACCCTTCAAACACCCTGAGCCCTACCCAGTCTCCATTGTAGCTCCTTTTGGGGGATACCTGATAAAAATCCTTAAGAGATAATTGGTCAAACCAAGAAAAGGAACTACAATGGAGACTACAGGTAAACCCCAAACAACTGAGGTAAGAGACAGGTCTTCACGCCAACGCCAGCCTCACAGGGCCGCAACTGGCGACAGATTCGGAGGGAAGCCTTTTTGCTTGAGGCTTTGGGGATTAGAGTTGAGGGTTTAGGGTTTGGGGTTTAGGGTTTAGGCTTGAGGCTTTGGGGATTAAGGATTAGGGTGTGGGGATGATGGTTGAAGGTTTAGGGCTTAAGGGCTTCGGGTTCAGGATTAAGGCCCCAAAGGGCTCAGGGTTGCGCGATTTACTGTGGCAAAACAACCCAAGTACCCTCACTCGACAAGCACCAAACTTATGTGGGCATAGATAAACGAAGAGGTGCTGAAGGTCAGCAGACAACAGCAACTACTTCGTCTCCGTGCGACTTCCTGTAAGGGCTTCTATACGGGTCATTATGAGAAGGAAAAGCACGGAATGCTCTTGGGTCGGTTTTCTGGAATGCTTAGCATCTTATGATACTAGTGTACAAGATGATCCTAACAGTCAGGATACCGCTTTAAAGAACCTGCGACCTAGCATCATTCCAGTGCAATACTTGCAAAAAGCCCGCTACTATCCGATGGAAGGTGCTGGCTTCGGGGTTGGGCGGTTGGGGCCTGAGGATACCTCGGAGTGACACGTGATCTTTTGTTAACGAGCTTCGGTGCCAGGCAAGCTTGCACTGCGCAAGCTTTGCCAGTAACCCGTCAAACCTGCCCAAAAAGAAAGCGCGGCTGGACGAGTTCTGTACACGCATGCTGTAGAAGAGGTAACGGCAACATCTGTAAAAGACTCCTTGAAAAGAAAGCGCCAATGTGGACTGTCGACCATCACGGCAAGGGCAGGCCCGAGAACTAGTACAGGTGACTAGCTCGCAGAATGCACCGGACAGAAATGGTTATGGTAAGCCTGGCAAGCTTACAGTACCCCGTGTAGTAATCCTATACAGTAAACCCATGCAAAATGCTCAGACGGCTTCGTCGCTGAGCTATCCTACAGCCGACCCATTCACAACGCTCAGACGGCCTCGTCGCTGAGTTCGTGGCCTCCTTTGCTATCTGTGCGTAGCGAACACAAAAAAGCAATGAACGCTATCAGGTCGGTCCCCATTGCAGTCCAGGTGAGCACCTTCAAGATTTCCAGGTATATGGAAAACGAGAAATCGAAATCAAAATCGAAGTCAAAGCTGGCAGGAAAGGTGAAGTTGGTGTACAGCGCGATCAGGACCAGCAGCAAGAGTCCGTACCCAGTCATTATGCCACACATGCCGCAGCCTATAATGCCTTGCATGCTAAGCATCCTATAAAACAACTGCTTGCCTTGTGCCCTGAGAAGTAGGGTCGCTTATGTCAACAAAACATTACTCGTATACTCTGCACCCAAGAAGCATGGATGATCATGATGACGGTGGCGATGATGATGACCGTGCCACTGGCCACTTGCACAAATGCATGCTAGTGCACAGGCGGCAACAGAAAGGAAGGCTGCTGCAACAATCAGTAAGAGTGCCGCCGTCTCATAAAGGGCCGGAAATCTTATCCACACCTGCTGATTCTCCGAAACTTGGGTGTTCAGTGGAATGTAAAAGAAGTAGGGGATAAGGCTCAGAAGGCTGAACCACCATGCCTTCGGAACATCCACAAGCTTGGCGATCAGCAGGCAGCCCTCAAATACCACACTCAAGGCAGTCGCCACTCCCCCTAGGAGGAGCAGGTACCCAGGGTTCACTTCGTAGGACTCCGCACCCATGCTAGCATGTGCCTTACCCAAGAAGGAGTACTGGTTCGTCAGAAGCGATGATACATTGCCATGAACCTGAAAGACTGACACTCTTCCAGAAAACCACTCATCCTCTTCGTGGTCGATGAAGCCACAGTTTTCCGAGTTTTCGTCTGGTCTTAGGCTGTTCTTTTCTGTAGGTCGATAGATGGTGTGGTACTCGTCAGGCGCTGAGAATTCAATCAGCAGGCAACCACGATGCTTCCGTGCAAAGACTACAAACTCGGAATCTTCGACGAGCCATCTCGAAGGATAGTCTGAGCGTACCAGGGCAAAGCAAGCCAAGGCTGCGACGACAAACATGGCCACCTTCCTGCGTTGTAGTTTTCGCCCCCTTAAAAGTATCTGTGAATAGGCGTCTTTATAGGAACCATAAAGGAAAAATTGGAAAGTTGCCCAAAGTGCCACCTAGCATCTCGACGAACCTTATGACCGCCCCCACGCCGGATCCTTTCTTCTTTCCCGCCATGCCGAGGTAAGTTAATCACAAGGCCGGCTTGCCCTTTATCCTTTCCTTGAGCCTAAAACTTGATGCGGCTGAGCTGCTTGCTGAAGATCAGACATCTCTCGTTCTAGTGCCACACTCTGTCGACAACTTGCCCTTTGCTGTGCAAGATAAAACTGCAAACCGCAACGGTGCATGCAATCTTGGAGAACAAGACACAAAAGGTGTGTCCTCCTTGGCCGGACATCGCCGGCATGTCAGGATGAAGTCGCGGTCGTTGACGTTCACCAATGTATACACTCGAGCGTTCGGTACTTTATGCCTGAAGAACCTGTGAATCAAACGGCTCATACGGCACATGATGCTTGAAAAGCAAGTCCCAAACAGCCTCATGCACTGACACGGAACATTGGCAGAAGCCGTTCGCACGTTCGATGTTAATCAACCCTTTTTTATGGGCTTCGTGCGTCCGTTATCTAACTTGAAAGCAGCCAAGCCTGAAACAGATCTAGGAGTAGACGTAGTCATAGTCGAGTGGGTGCTAGGAGCAGCAGCAGGGTAGCAGAGCGGCAGCAGGGCAGCAGCACCAGCAGGAGTAATCGTCAGCAGCAGCAGCAAAAAATAGCCGCTGTAGCTGCATCAGAAAAAATAGAAGCCACCCCTAAACCCTAAACCCAAACCGCCCCCGCCGTTCCGACCTCGACAGGCGCGCAGAAGTGCAGCTCAAGCCCAGCCGGCCTGCTCCGTGACCGAGGCGTGGAAGACGAGGGTCGGGGTGAAAAAGGGTTTCGGACAACCCTAAACCCTAAGCCCTAGCTAAATTCCAAAGGCCCTACGCCCTATAAACCCTAAGCCCTAAACCCTAAACCCTGTTTAATTGCAAAGGCCCTACGCACCAACAAAAATCCCCAAAACCCTAAACCTTGCTTATCTCTTTGTCCGAACACCATCGGTAGATGGCCTAAACCCTAAACCCTAAAACCCTAAACCCTAAAACCCTAAACCCCGATTAGCAGCGATGGTTCCCCTTTTCCTAGGGGGAGTCTCGACGAGCCCGGCATAAGCCCTCCCAAAACCCACCTCAGCATCTCGAAACTCCAGAAAGACCCTAGATGACGCCAAAACCATCACACCTAAACCGTATACCACCAATAGGACCCTTAAAGGGAGCCGTCGGCAACGGACCTCACGCTGAGAAAGGTGCGGGTGCTTGTCAACTCAGCCTCCAGGAAGAGGCTTTGCTTCGAGTTTACACTTTCCGATGTTCAGCGGTATGTCTCTCGAAGCCCTGAACCCTTCCCTGACTTATACGTAGCCAAGGTGTAGGCAAAGGTACTACTTGATTGCTGTTCGCATTGGCGTGATTTGCAAAATCAGGGTAACCAGAGGCACTCGAAGCGATTGTATGCATTGTCGGCGCCGGCAAGGGGGGGGGGGCTTGGGCTCATCAGTGAAGGATTTGTCGCCTAAGAGCGATTTGGTCGTGGCGCAGCTTGGTTTGGGTCTCATCACTTTATCTGAGTCTTCCAGCTGCCGGTCGATAGTAGGCTGCCGTCAGTATTCAGGCCGTGTCACCGCTTGTGGCATGTTACCATTGCCGCAACAAGCAACTTGAACATGCGTACACCGAAACTCAAGACCTACACTATAAGTAAGAAGGGGAGGTTGCGAAGCCTTCACCCCTCTGTGCCCAATGACCCATCCGAGACCTCAAGCCACTCAACCCTAAACCCCAAACCCGAAACCTTCAGCTTCGATTCGAAAGCACCCCGACCTGCTGCGTCTGCACCAGTGCCGCAGCGGGCACACTACCTCGAAGAACGTACCCACCCTCTAAGACTTGACCGTGAGGTCTAGGGTTGGGTTTAGGGTTTAGGGTAGGGTTTAGGGTTTAGGGTTTAGGAGTGCAGACGACCTTTATAAGTGGGTTTTGGACTTGGGTAAGGCTTAGGGCAGGGCTTTCGGAATTCTCTCAGGCCTCCTCCTCCAGCTGGGATGCATGGCCAGAGTTCGTGTGGGTTCAGCGCTTTGAAAAACTGCAGATGCAAAGAATGATTCTGGAAAGTAGAACCTTGAATCCCAGCCAAGCCCACGATACAGGGGCCGGTTTAGGGTTTAGGCTCTCACAACTCGGACAGTTTAGGGTTTCGGGTTCTTTCGCCAGACATCCGCGGCCTGAAGAGATCATTTTAGTCTGGCTGTCGACCCTTCAGCCTGCCAGACCTGTACGCTGTACGCATTGCCTTTGGGAACCATGAACCCACTGAAGCCCCTAAGCCTAGATTCTAGATTGGCCCAGGTCCCCATACCCTTTCATGTATCTAAACACTTCAGTACAACCATAATTCACCTCAATCCCCTTCCGGCCCCTTTACCAACACAAAGAGAGAGAGAGAGAGAGAGAGAGAGACAGACAGACAGACAGACAGACACACGTCACCTACCTAATGAACTCACTTTCGCCGGGGCTTGCTGATTCCTAAACCCCGTAAAGCCCCAAACAGCCACTCTAAAGCTTAGATCCTTGAACCCTACCAGCACACCCCCCAACTAACTGCCCTCTATTATTCCCTAAATACCCACTATTGAGATTCAGGACCATAAGGGCTTTATTGAAGGGTACTGGGGGGGGGGTGCTGGTATAAACCCCCACAGCCCAAAATACCACAAAACTTCTGTCCACAGCGCAGATCGTGTGAGGCGGGAGAAGCAGCTCGCCAAGAGAAGTCTCGGGGAGCTGCCGGATGCGACCTCCCGGCGCACTATGTCCAAGAGGCTCTACAAGCACGGTTTAGGGTCTAGGGGTTTACGGATAGAATCCCTGTTTAAACGTATCTCAACCTCCTATAGATCTTATTAAGACCCCGCTGCTCCAAGGTCTATATAGGATTTAAGGGTGTGGGGTTCAGGGTTTGAGGTTTAGGGCTATTCCTCAGCGACAGGTGGCTTGGAGGGAGCTCAGTAATTAATCCACTACTAACATCCCCGCATGGGCTCGAATCATTCATGAAGCGTGGCAGGCAAGCAAGAGGTCGTCGAGACGCGATAGTTGCATCCTTTGTGCGGGTTCCTCAACCCGCCCCAAACATCTCGAGCCACGAGATCATCTCAGGCCCGGTAGATCCGTAGCTTACTTGTCCGGCAGCCTAGAGGAACTACCAAAAGGTTAACCTTTGGAATTATATAGGGATTAGAATACCCCAAGAAGGTAACATGGTCCATATAGCGGAAGGCCCCAAACCGCCATATGCAACAACAACGAAAAACCTGCAGCGGAGCCACAAAGCCCAAGATGGAGAAACGGCTCTCAGGCTCCGACATGTAGGGGTCTTTACAACTAGGGCAGGCTCTTGGGGATCATTGTAGTACCAGCACAATAAGCAACCTCAAGGAATAAATAAGACGAAGATTCCGAGCCGAAAAATTACAACCCTAAACCGGCCTAAAGCCCGAAAAGCTGAACCCTAACCCCCCACAAAAAGACAAAGGTGAAGCCTAAAACCCTCGATGCTTCGGGGCAACCTAGACCCTAAAGACCGACCATTCTATGGACTCATACAATGGAATCATCCTAAGGAGCCCTGAAAAAGGTAGGTTATTTGGGGTTTCCGAAATAGGGAACCCTAATGTAGCACCCCAAATAGTAGGATCCCTATAATAAGGGGCCCTAATTTAGAGAACTATCCATTTCATAGGGGCCGAGTACCCTGGCCCAAAGAAGGACAACCTGTTGAAAAAGAGTAGGAATATATAAGCCCCAACAGGTTAAAGGTCACCTACTCAGCCCCTAAGTTTAGGTTTCAGGGTTCCTAAGTCCCTGAACCCCTAAACCCCTAAACCCCTAAACCCCAAACCCTAAACCCCTAAACCCTAAACCCCAAACCCTAAACCCGTTGGGAAGGCCTGAGAAGATGCTCGTGCCGCGGTCACAGGAGTGTGCCGATCCCAGAAGGGAAGCTTCACAGGCACCTCTCAGCTTTCGGGTTCCGCCGTTTCACTCTTTAGGGTTCCGGCTCGTGCGGTTTAGAGTTTAGGGTTTAGGGCTTAGGGTCTCCACAGACTTTTTGGGTTTTGAGGGTTTTTTTCCCCTCTTGCATGGCTAAGGATCTATGCCCACAAGCGTTTTGAGGGTTTAGGGCTTAGGCTTTGGGGGGGTTTTAGGGTTTAGGGGCAGGTCGTTTCTTGAGCAGCCTTTGGTCTCTAGGCGCGTCGATACGAGGTGCTATAAGAGTTTGGGGTTGAGGAGCTCGGTGGACCCAAAGACTCCCAAGCCTCACGGCTACGGAATAGAATCTACCTCCAAGGATAGGATTCGTGGTACAAAAGCCGAAGATGTCAGAGTTTAGCTTTGGGGTTTCATTGAGGTTTGGGGTTGGGATATCGGCTGAGGTGTGAGGTTAAACTGCTATTAAACGTTCGGTGCTTGGAGAAATTGCTGTTCACTCTATAGAATAGGCGTTGGGGTACCCTAAACCCTAATCCCTGTTGTTGCGGCCTTTTTCTGGCAACTTGCCTTGACGGCTTCCGGAATACTTTCGGGCCAGGGCCTGGGTTTCGGATTAGGGTTTAGGGTTTACTGCTGCAGCTTGGATTTTTGCGTGCGGTAGCACAGTATAGCACAACATGCTCCGGCGAAGGTCAAGTATGAGTTCTTCAACAGTACTTACTCCCCTGTAAGCCCAAAAACCTGAAAACCCTGAACTAATACTTGCCGAGACACTGCTGGACCGCAGATCCACAGGGATCACCGCTCTTTTCTGCGCATCGTGGAACCTGTCTGATGTGTGCGAGCTCGAGTTCGAGGGAAAACTACGCGTCGATGGGGTCTTCGATAGTTTTGAGGGCGCTTAATTAAGGTTCAGAGAGGTGTCTGCCGACGAAATGGTAATATAGGGGCCTAAATAATTACCTGTACTATTTCGGTGGTTCCTTATTGCAAGTATAGTATAACATACCCCAAACCCTACTCTAATTGTTAAGGCCCTAGTATTGGGGGGTTGAACCAAAGAAACTTCCGACAAATC